CTGATGAAAATCTTTTTCGCTGTACGACTGCATTTGTTTGTTATATGCTCGCTGGAGGCATCGAGAAGGTTCCAATCGTCGTTGCTAGGCAGTTTCTGTCAAGAGTTTGTTGTATACTCTTTGGAAGCATCGAGAAAGATCCAAACGCCGTTGCTAGGCAGTTTCTGTCTGGAGTTTGATTCCTAATACAACGTGTGTCCCATTATATCGACATCTCTAAAGTACAATTCTATGTGATTTCTATGGAGAACTATACAACCGATCCACACCTTCGTCAGGCAAAACGTTTATCCCGTGACCGTGGCTACGTTCGATGACCAGTTGTCACCTCGAACCCACTTTCGCTATCACAAATATCGAACAATTACAAATGACAACAATTGCTTAATTACAACTATGATAAAATCTAGGCTAAAGCATTAGAAGACTTTCCCAAAATTGCAAAGGGAAGGCTCCGGTTTTCCTTTCATCTCCGACATGTATATTAAACATGCCTGATCCAAATGAAAGTTCGTTAAACGCCCCTACCCTCAATGCTAACTCGACATATATAATATAATAGTATGAATAACTATAAACTCAAAACTGAATAATAACTATAAACTAATAACTATAAACTCTGATTATTGTCAGATTCTTCGTAATACTAAAACAAAAATTAACAAAATCGTTTATATAATTTCGTGTCGAGATATAATACAAATCTGAAGATACAACAAAGAAAAATTGAACAGTGCTCGTGGAAAACACCGTAAACGCAAAAATTGAGAAATGTTTCATTGGAAAATATTCTACGTATCAATGAGAATAGCGCAGTATATTAATAATTCCCCATGTAACATCGCTTGATACTTCGCAGCGTTCAATCTACTCTTTAAAAAAAGAATTTCTCTTGACATATCCAGGCATAATCAGTGGTTTCTTGGAAATATCGAAGGAATAATACGGAAAATGTGGCTGAGTCTATAAATTATTCACAGCAGTGTGCGCAAAACGTAAGTATTAGGTCGTCCGAAAAGTTTCTTTCGTTTTATAAGGAAATAATGGATGCACAATATTTTTCGTTTCATATTATTTTATCGAATTACGTATGACCTATTTTGTTCTATCAAGATAAAGATCACAGTGTTTGACAGATTAGGTTTCATGTTTGCATAAAGATGCATCGTTGCGAAAGACGTGTCTGTAAGAGAAAGACACTTTTCGGACAACCTAATAGAAGTACGACTGTTAGTTCGATAAACTTGCTCTCGACGTTTCACTTACAGCACGTAAAATATTTTGGAAGTAGAAGCAGGGCACAGGGACGTTTAAATTCACAATAAAGTCCATTTCACAATTCTTTCATTAAGACTTCTCTTTTTACGCTTATGAAACCAGCCCCGGTGGCTACACAGATATTTCTGTTCTTTTCTTCTTTTCAGCAAACAACAATCTCGGTGAATAGCGAACGGGAATGTGTTACTTTATTACATTTCCGCGATTATTCTACCTTCCATTTTCTCGTGTAAATACACTGCAACGTAACAGTTCATAATTGGTTTTATATCACATATTTCACGCAAAGTCTGCGGAATGTCTTAAACAATGTACATTTAGTTGATACGTTGAGGTTAATTAAGTTTGAAAGTTAAAGCTACAATGAAAATAGGAAAATCAGCTACGTTGATCTATATTGTATCAGGAGTACTTTCAGCCTTGTTATTTCACGTCAGTCTTTTTTTAGAGCCCTTGGCAAAGGAGAAAATTTCTCCTTCTTGCAGCTGTTAAAATTCTCATTGCATAAAAATACGCATAAAAATGACACAATCTCTCGTGATTATTAAATCGAGTTAATGCTTAAGAATTGTTCGACTCAACTGTGAATTTGCGGGAAATTGTAGTAAATAAAATTTCAGTAACTTGCAACTCGATCGTATAATCTGATTCAATGGAACGCAAAACTCTGATATTCGTTAGACCGCGGTTTTTTATGCAAATTAATATTTTTATAGATACAAATGAACCGATACAGAACTTATAATATTTCTATTTATTAAAGATACGTAAAATTATAAGATAAGATAATAAGATAATTAATAAGATAAGTAAAATCAGTAAGTTACAAGTCAACCCTCTGGCACTGAATTGATCTCGGGTTTTTATACAAATTAATATTTTTATACACACGAATGGAGCGATATAGAAGTTGCAGAGAGATTCGTTTTACCTATAAAAATTATAATAAGTAAAATCCGTAATTTAATACAAGTAATCTCTCTGGCATTAAAGAGACTGCGAATTTTTATGCAAATTAATATTTACAGAGACAGGACTAGAATGGCACAGAACCTGAGCAGAGGTTGCTTCCATTATTAAAAATTATAACGATTGCATTCCCTCTGTATTTTATTTTATCGATATTATTTCGCAACCTTTAACGCGAATTATATGCTATTATGGTTACCACGAACGCGCGTTCAAACACATCGCTGCACCTTGTTTACGCAGCTCGTGTGTGTAATGCAACGCGTTGAGAAATTAAATTACGAAAACTCGTTAGGAGAAACGAATTATCATCAACATCCTGGGAATTTTAGGATAGGCATTTGCCGCTTCGTATGTTCAATGTTAAAACGTTGTGTTCGCTGCTGCACCCGTTACTCACAGAGACCGTTGGACAATACAGTAATCAGAGTAATCTGGCAGAAACGTGAGCTGAGTATTTAACGCTAATATGGACGTACACGCGTTAAATGAATAACTCGTGAGCGTTGTTGCTAAAGATTCTTATATTAAGCGTTTGTTCACGTAGTATCGAGTATTTGTAGAATTCGCTTCATTTCTTTGCATCTTTCGTTTCGTTTCCGCCCTCCCTTTAATATATTTTGTCAAATTCGAGATACGAGATTTATCAATACCATTTATATTCTGATAGATTTAATATCCCTTTTAATTTTAATATTGCAAGCTCGTCTCGCAGAGAAATATTAAATACTCGTACGCTCCCTGACATTTCATTTTATCCTTATCCTACGAATTTTCTCTACTCTGATTTATGGAAATTTTATGGACATAGGAGCGCGCTTCAAGATATTTGTAATTTATAAAGATTTTGGAATTAAAAATGTTTAAATGTAACCTATAGGCAGGTCGTATTATAGGTACGTCATAGTATAGTCGTCAATATTCTATGGATAATACTTCCCAATAGTAAAATATTTATGTGTGTAAAACATTTATGGCAGATGTTTCGTCTGAATACACGAAAACTCACTATGATTCTCCAGGTCTGAAGCATAAAATACACCGCCGTACCATATCATCGTTCTTGCAACGCTAGTATCTTCGTATCGATAGCTCGTGGCCATTTCTACCATCTGCGAAATTCAGTCTCGCATACTCACATAATACCAATCTTTTATAACTATCTCTTGGAACCAAATTTATGATATTATCTAACATATTAGAGAAAATGACGTAGTACCGATATACAGAGTATCGATCAAAGTTCCTTGTTTCTATGGTTAAATAATATTGTAATAGAAGAAATAAATAAGTATATCCATATACGTCCAATTACTCATTGTGAAATGGCAAGAAATAATTTCTTGATAACACATTTTATTATTACAAGGACAGTACTATTTCACTAATACTACATTTCAATTTTCTGCTGCATTTGTATCACTTCGTACCGCATTGCGTCTATATACATGTGTACATAAATGTGTGTGTGTATATATATAAACATCTAAATTTGCACGTTCTCATATGACGTTATATGTTATATGCATGTGGTTCTGAATATGTGTATATAACGTGTACCACAGTCATCAAAAGGCACTGGGGTGCAATTATCGTATGTTCTCGTATTTTTGAAAGTACTGTAATTTTAAAGAACTTTAAAAAATTTTCATACTCTATATTAGTTCGTTATCGCGCTCAATGCAATTATAATATGTTCCTAGGAAGACGAAACGAGCAGATGGGAGATTTGTTGAGGAAAATGTTAGGTTGGTATGATCACTAGTTCCTACATGCAAAGTTGGTACGACTACTAACGACGCTCCTTCGTTTTTCCCCGTGTGCCACGTGTTAATTATCAGAGAGTATGTTGAAATGGTTGTACATGGTGATGAAATACAGAGTATATAAAACTAAATCTGTGTGAATCAATTAAATATCGAACTCCAAAACTTATTTAATAACAAGATTTGCATGTTAAGCAAAAACGAAATGTGTTTACATTTGCATAAAAAGTGAAAGTTTCATGGGAAATATTTTGTAGTAGGTAAAGAAGTGCAATTCCTGCACAATAGATTCAATTACTTTGTACGTAGCATAAACGTCACCAGATATTATTTGGAGAGTATACATTTTACATTAATAATTGGATTTCAGAATTGATTATTTGTAGAAATAAATAAAGAGTATAACAAATAATTCTGTGTACATATATTACGGAATTGTCGTTGTCGACATTCTCAGATGTTAATTGTATAAGCTGTATTTAATGCTTAGATATATACATATTATTAAAATTAGTAAATCGTCTCTGCAGTAATCAAATAATTTACTCTTCACGTATAATATCTGTAGTTTTTAAAAATAGGCTTCGATTAAATTGTTTTGTCGTTCTTCCTATGTTATAGGTATCTCGTAATTACTATGTTACTTATCCACTTGCTATTAGCGATTTACGAAATAGCCATCTTCCATCGCAACATATCCTGTAGCTATCAAATACTTATCTGTGAATAAAAGTATTATATTTTATTGTAACGTACCTAAACGTCTTGTTAATGCTATTACGAATCAGATGACTCCAAATTTACTAAATACGTAAGCAGTGGATAGTCTCTCGTTTATTACAAATTATAATATTATTATTTTTGCAAATTATTAAATTTCAGGCAAACTACTAGGTTGTCCGAAAAGTTTCTTTCGTTTTATGAGGAAATAATAGGCGCACAACGTTTTTTGTTTTATATTATTTTGTCGAATTACGTACGATCCATTTTGTTACGTTGAGATAAACATCGCGACATTTCACAGACGATTTCACGTTTATATGAAGGTGCATTAAAAAACATGTTTGCGAAAGAAAGACACTTTTCGGACAACCTAATACTTTTCTCTAGCCTAAGTTATAGCTCTAGCTCTAGCCCAAATTATAACAAAAATACTTCAGTCATTTGCAAGCATCGACTTAGAATTTTATTTCGTTAAAACATTTTTGAGATTTAACGATGATTTTTCCCAGGGAAAAAACCATAATCATCTTAACGAGGCTCTGACATTGTACAGGCTGTTGAAAAAAAGCCTTTACGGGGCTTATGGTGGTTATCGAAGGAAGCAAAAAAATGTATTATCAACACAGGTGCTGCGATTAATCCGTCCGATTCCGTTCGATGGTAAAATCCATTTTTATCATTTCAGAGCGTTGAATGTCGTTGTCGAGTTCCTCCGTCGAGCGTAAACAAAGAGATTGATTCAGAAGTACGTTGGCTCAAGGCTGTCAACACAAGCGACCTATGATACGTAGACGTGAGCTTTGCATTGCAATGGAAGGAAAACATATCGAACATTTGCTGTAACAAAGAAGGTTTTTATTTTGTTTGCCTCTATGAAGTAATCTCTGTTGATATTAGTAATGATTTTGTGTTGACAATGTTCAGCTAACGCACTTCTCAATCACTCTCTCTCTGTTTACGTTCGAAGAAGAAACTCGCTCGTGACATCGAATGTTTGTAAATGATAAAAGTCGATTTCACGTCGAAAGGATTGATCGCAGGATCTACGTGGACTGGACATTTTTTGCTCCTCTTGGTGAGTACTATAATTCATGGACTTTTCTTTTGAACACTCTGTACGTTGCAATACAATAACTAGACCTCGCTGTCTAAAATTGCGATGGTTTTCTCACGTTGAGAAAAAGAAGATAATTTGCCAGATCACCGTGTATATCACCAGGAGGCTCGGTCAAATACAAACCGCACTCTGTTGCTAACTTTATACTTAGGTAAAATGTTTCAAGAAGAACAACCGACTTATTTTTTTACGTATATGTCCCGTTTTTCTCTGTACACTTTTGCCGTCGGATTGCTAAGTTTTTCATTGCAGTTTCACAGAAAGTGGAGAGCTGGGTCAGAAAGCAATCGCACGCGAATTGCTCTACTTCTTCGTTGCGGTTGAAACATCGCCCTGCTGCTGCCTCTTTCGGTGTTCGTGATTTTGCGGATCTCCAACTCTCCGAATAATGGAAACCACGCTCCCACGACCAATATTTAACTTTCGAGCAAATTTCGTCGATCCTCGCGCGTCGATCGTGCTCGATCGGTTTGCCAACAGCTTCCACGTTTGCTGGTGGTTACGCTTGTCTCGAGGCGTCGCAGATAAAATGTGTTTTGAACGTTTTTTTGCTAATGTTTCATTCCCAAACCGTAATCGCGATCTACGCAAAAATCCAGTGGTCTTTGCGCCCTCAAATAAAGTAAGCTTAATAATCGTGCATTGTGTAACCGAAGACGTACAGTTTCCTCGCTCATTCCGCTACCTACCGAAGAAACGATAAACAGTGCAGCACGTGCAGTGGAACGTCTGTGAAACATTTTTGTTTTTTTCTTTGGAAGAATTTTACAATCAATTCTTATTGAGAATTATAAGTAAATTATTCTGGCGTGGTGCTATAACGTGTATAATAAGTGATTATCGTTATTGAGATATGTATAATTTTATGTGCTAGACTAGGTTAGCTGCGCAGTAGTGATACTTGTATGTGAATATCAGTGTGTGGAAGTGTGTGTGTGCGCGGCGTCTCGAAAACAAAGGAACGTAAACTGTTTGGTTAACAGTCTGCTGTGGAAGAAGGTGAGACGTGTGCAAGTGTGTATCGATGAATATCTTTGAAATCGTTTATTCAATAAATATATAACTATTGTAATATGAATTCTAAGTGTAAATTTAGTGTTTCTATACCGTTATTTCGATTCTTAAGATCCAAAATTCTCAACAATCATATGTTTGATTCTAGCTGAATCTAATGTTTAAATCTGGAGGATAATGTCCTTTTAGCCTGCGGATCTGATCCGTCGTGTCAAGTAATTGAGTAACTAATGGATTCCGGTGGTTGTTAACTCTTTGTTATCTTTATTACTGAATTTGGATATTTCTTCTTTAACTGTAGGTATCTTAAGGTCGCGGTGTATCGTTTCGTTGGTAACATACCAAGGTGCATCTATTAAGAATCTTAGAGTTTTTGATTGGAATCGTTGAAGAATTTCTATATTGGAATTACTTGCTGTTCCCCATAGTTGGATCCCATAGGTACAAACAGATTTTAATATGGCTTTATTGTGAAACATTTGACTAAACTATTTGTACTCTCACGCAGTTCCATGTGGATAATTGACGCTGCGGAGATGTGCCACACGCGGTCCAGTTGATATTTGACCGACGCTCATACTGTACAGAACGTTTAGGAATTTCATGAACACCGTGACGAGACACGACTATCCTGATCATATTGGTCAAGTTTGAAACGGATCTGAAAATGTGTACACAAGTTAGAAGATATGGGGTTAAAGAGAAAGCTGCTTCCGTTTTTCGTAGCGAGATGCAACTGGCCATCGTGGTAAATTTATTCTTATTTATTATTACTAATTTAATTAATGATACTGTAGGACTGACTGTTTTAATAAATTTCCAATATGTTTAGAACGGAATTTTTAAGAAGCAGCGAAACTAGAGGTAAACGAGTGGCTAATAAACGCAAGGAAATCGAATGAGAACTGGGACGCAAAGTTTCACGTTAGAACGCAAATTGTTAAATTCATAGCAAATGAATTATATGTTCACAGGTATATGCAGACCGTGTCGTAATGGACGCGTCACGATCCAGCGAGCACCAATTAAAAAAAAGAGGAGACTTATTCTCGCGACCGTCGAAGAGTTGGTTATCATGTGAATTAATGAAATAGAAAATTGCCTCTGGACGACGCGCACACAGCTACAAAATCGGTGCAGGTGCGCCAGCCTGTCTTCCGTTTAATTTCGAACATCGACGTGAAAAATTGGCGCGCGACCTTCTGCCTTGATTACGTGCCACCCGGATTCAACCCCTGGCCTCGTCGCGAAGCAAAAATTCCTCGTAAGTACACAGATTCGCGTTCGATATACGGGTCAGCCGGTCGTCGACATTCCGGCACATTAATTTCACAAGTGTTTCTATTCACACCCTTGCATAGGTTCATTGGCCCGTAAGGGCTCTTTTCAAAGGGCGCTGCCAGCCTCGTACGAGCAAGGAAATCTCTTTGAAACTGGCACTGGGCTCCGCTTAATATTAATAGCAGCATTTGCGGCTCCGTATGAACGACATTTAACTAACGAGACGCCTCGATTCGGTCACCGTGCTTCTTTGCCTTCTTTTTCTCTTCTCGCTTCTCTTTTTCTCTCCTTCTTTTCTTTTTGTTTTATTTATTTAAGGTCGCACGTACCTGTGAACGTTATTTAGCGACTACCACGGTACACAAACGAACGATCCGTATTTTATGAGAACACTGACAGAACGATCTGCGATCGAAACATCGAGCGATATTTTGTAAATGCGGGGACGTTTCTCTGTGAGAAAAATTGAAACAGGAAATTAGAACTGAAGGAAATTTGTATAGTTTTGTTAAACAATTGTCAACTCTTGTTTAGAATTAATGTTACGAGGTGAAAGAATAGATAATTTTAAATCTTGTATTAAATATCGAATGATGTTAAAGAAATAAATAATTTCTACCGCGTTATACAAGAAATTTGATATGTAGAGTGCGCTAAACATTTATAAACTTTGGTTTACCCGCATTATCGTTATTAAATGATTCGATCAGGTCACATTCATGTCATACATCCTGTCATATCGTTTATTCACCGCGGCTACCGTAAATAATATTTCCGTGTTATTCCTCAAAATGTTATATCGGTTGATTATATCGATTATTTTATAGATTGAAGCATTTTCAACAGAATAATACAGAAATGGAAACAACTATCGAGCGTTCTGTAATTAAAAAATAATTGAAACGAGCCATCGGTTGGAAAGCAACGTTTATTAATTAAAAACTTGACATGAACTTTAAGCGAGTTGTAAAATAGTCTTCCTCTGTTCAATTTTTCCCACTTTTTGAACGAACATTTACAGCTCGATAGAGATGTATTACTGTTGTACTCGATCTTCATAACTCGAAGTTCTAATTAAAATAAAAATCAAGTCGCACAGAATTGATATTTCTGAACAATAAGTTCTCAGCGAATTTAACACGCGTCACTACGATTCTTTTGAAACGAATTCTAACGAAAGCGGCGTGGTTTGCTTAATAATGGCAGGGCGGTGTTCTATACAAAATTTATTACTGTTGTTTTGCGTTAATAAAGCTTGGCAATAGGCAACCAGCACGCACAGTTTACGTCGAAAATTTTAATGATCAAGTGAAAAATGCGAGGTTTCGCCCACCACAACGAATCTTTCGAAGCGAAAATACGGGAAATCCAGACTACAATAACGAACTTGTTAGAAGCTGAACGATCAATTTTAATAAAGAACGGAATCAAATTTTCCCTGCGCTCAATTTTAAATTGAATTTCGTCCTTTCTTCTCTTTTCTCACTTATGCACTGCCATTCGTAAGCCTTTGGATACCAAATGCTATTGCAGAAAAAAGTTACATGAAACGATATTTTCGTAATATTTTCAAAGTTCGACGCTTAGAAATCATTTGTCTACTGTTTATTGTGTATCTCTTGCCATATCTCTTGATCGTAAAGTAGAATAAGTTAAAATTCAAATGAAAGGAAGAAATTTATGCATCTGCGTCACTCATATTCTATCTTTGTTTTTAATTTGATGTTTTATAAAATTTATGCATATTGATGTTTAGGATGCGACCAGAAATATGCATTTGCCAATACAAGGCATTGAACAGACACATTGAATCAGTTGTCTGTAACCTAACTGAGGTATCTGTGCAGCATCTTTGATGTCTGTTTTATTTATAATAATTAATATTAATTATCGTTTCTATTAATGTCTACTAATTGCCTAAAATAAGATCAGAGACCAAAATTAGATCTTAGAGTTTCCTTTGCAGCCTACTTTATGCATATATATTTCCAATAATTTGCTAGTGTAAAGATATTAGTTGCAAAATGAAACGATCGTATTCAGGATGAAACTTACATTCAGAGTTTTATTAAAAATAATATTACTAAAAGTATGCTTTAACAATTTCGATATATGTTGACTATCTTAAAAATAACTTTACGATTACCATAATTAATATCACTGACTCATTGTATTTGTAATCGTCATCAAAGTAAAGAAAGGAACAATCGAGGCATAATTAAGCAGCTACAAAAAAAGAATAGTAATAATAACATATGTGATCCTCGTAAGCTGAAAAGAACACACCCTGCAAACCTAATAAACGAGCAAACATCTGCAAATGACCCAGATCGACTGATCTCAATGATAAGAACATTGTCTCAATGAAGACACCGCTTGTGCTATTTTGTCATATTGAAAAAATTGTGCTTAATGTGACAAATGTGTGCTGATAAATTGCAAAGTATGTAAAGTATAGGAGATATAAAAAGAAAATTTTTTTTAATAATTTCTTGGTATATTTAATAGCAGGTTGCTCTTCTTATTCTGAACTTTCTTCTTTTTTTCGTTTCATTCTTTCGTTTCACTCTTTTATTATTCGGTTTTTCGAAAGTCGTATCTATAACCAGTTTCCATCGCGCAAGAAACGCACCCGAGTATTATTCTGATCTGTAAATTATTCCAACGTACAATATTCAATTTTTTCCAACATATCTTCGAACTAAATTAAATCCTGCTGCTACTAAATTAAATTAGCCTCGAAGAGAACAAAATCCACGCGTAATAAACGTTATCTACTGGCACATTTACGTAACTACTGAGTTCCGATTGATTGCAGACTTTCATCGAGTCAGCTATTCCTCGCACGACCATCCGATTCGAACGTCGATCAACGATTCGAATATCGTGAATTTTAACGCGAAAGCACATTTCCCTTCAACGCGTAAACAATGTGAAAGATCGCCGCAGAAGGCGAAAAAATCTCGATGAAGAACCGCGATGAGAGAAGAGAAGGGAAGGAACAATCGGCTTGAAAGAATACTCGTTCGTCCCCATTCACGGGATCATCGGCGAACAGCGTCAAATTAAATTGATCCCCGACAGCAGGTCCACCTTCGTGCCCGGCATCGATCTACGTTTCCATTGGCGTTCATCTGTTTTATTCGTCGAATCAGCTTGCGCGGTAAGCACGGACAATGCTCATAAATTTTTTCCTGCCGCGGCAGACATGGCTTCCGTTTCATTTGCATTGTCTCAGAGCACGTAGCTGAGGAGCGTAACCAGGATGCACACGATCGATCGGCGGCACCATTGTTTCGCTTTAGTGTCGGTATCAATCGCGCGGGGCGTTCATTACGACGGCATTAACAGGCTTTTCAAAAGGAGAAAACGATTTCCAGAAATTGGAAAAATGACGAATAAAAAACCTTCTTCGTTGAAATGCTGGATGGAACCTTTGAAATCGGCGAATATGAAAGATCCGTGGTATTTCAGATCGGCGTAGTAGGACCCATGCTCTTTTCGATATCCACAACAGATCCTTCAGACGCCTTCATTCATCTGCATCATTCGTCAGATTACCTTCGCCGATGACTTCTTGCTTATTCAGTCTGTGCCACTGACCAGGAGTCGACCGAGAAATTACAAGCAACGTGTTTGCTGTGTTTACGTATCGACGTATGAAAATCAGGCTACGCCTATCAGAGTTGTTTCTTATCTTCTTAAAAAATGTTTATTTTATATTATTTCTTTCAATTGCGTGTTTAAGGTGGTGTGCATCTTTGGAGATTATTAGTGTCACATTAAGAACGATCAGGGACAGAACGAATCTGTAGTAAGTTGCATAAACCAATCTTCCCAATCTTTCAGAAGATCTAGAGTCTCTTACATGGAGCTTATGTATGTTCAGGTAATTAGTTAGATGATGTTGTATATTGTGATATTGCATCTAGGACAGTTGATTAGCATATATACAAATCTTTCAGAAGATCTAGAGTCTCTTCCATGGAGCCTTTCTTTTGTAGTATGTTCAGGTAATTAGTTAGATTATGTTTTATATTTTGATATTACATCTAGGACAGTTGATTAGCATATGTACAAATATTTCAGAAGATCTGGAGTCTCTTCCATGGAGCCTTTCTTTTGTAGTATGTTCAGGTAATTAGTTAGATTATGTTTTATATTTTGATATTACATCTAGGACAGTTGATTAGCATATGTACAAATATTTCAGAAGATCTGGAGTCTCTTCCATGGAGCCTTTCTTTTGTAGTATGTTCAGGTAATTAGTTAGATTATGTTTTATATTTTGATATTACATCTAGGACAGTTGATTAGCATATGTACAAATATTTCAGAAGATTAAGAGTCTCTACCATGGAGCCCTTCTTTTGTAGTATGTTCAGGTAATTAGTTAGATTATGTTTTATATTTTGATATTACATCTAGGACAGTTGATTAGCATATGTACAAATATTTCAGAAGATCTGGAGTCTCTTCCATGGAGCCTTTCTTTTGTAGTATGTTCAGGTAATTAGTTAGATTATGTTTTATATTTTGATATTACATCTAGGACAGTTGATTAGCATATGTACAAATATTTCAGAAGATCTGGAGTCTCTTCCATGGAGCCTTTCTTTTGTAGTATGTTCAGGTAATTAGTTAGATTATGTTTTATATTTTGATATTACATCTAGGACAGTTGACTAGCATATGTACAAATCTCTCAGAAGATCTAGAGTCTCTTCCATGGAGCCTTTCTTTTGTAGTATGTTCAGGTAATTAGTTAGATTATGTTTTATATTTTGATATTATATGTAGGACAATTGATTAACATATGTACAAATCTTTCAGAATATCTAGAGTCTCTTACATGGAGCTTATGTATGTTCAGGTAATTAGTTAGATGATGTTGTATATTGTGATATTGCATCTAGGACAGTTGATTAGCATATATACAAATCTTTCAGAAGATCTAGAGTCTCTTCCATGGAGCCTTTCTTTTGTAGTATGTTCAGGTAATTAGTTAGATTATGTTTTATATTTTGATATTACATCTAGGACAGTTGATTAGCATATGTACAAATATTTCAGAAGATCTGGAGTCTCTTCCATGGAGCCTTTCTTTTGTAGTATGTTCAGGTAATTAGTTAGATTATGTTTTATATTTTGATATTACATCTAGGACAATTGATTAACATATGAACAAATATTTCAGAAGATCTAGAGTCTCTTCCATGGAGCTTTTCTTTTGTAGTATGTTCAGCTAATTAGTTACATTATGTTTTATATTTTGATATTACATCTAGGACAGTTGATTAGCATATGTACAAATATTTCAGAAGATCTAGAGTCTCTTCCATGGAGCCTTTCTTTTGTAGTATGTTCAGGTAATTAGTTAGATTATGTTTTATATTTTGATATTACATCTAGGACAGTTGATTAGCATATGTACAAATATTTCAGAAGATCTAGAGTCTCTTCCATGGAGCCTTTCTTTTGTAGTATGTTCAGGTAATTAGTTAGATTATGTTTTATATTTTGATATTACATCTAGGACAGTTGATTAGCATATGTACAAATATTTCAGAAGATCTAGAGTCTCTTCCATGGAGCCTTTCTTTTGTAGTATGTTCAGGTAATTAGTTAGATTATGTTTTATATTTTGATATTACATCTAGGACAGTTGATTAGCATATGTACAAATATTTCAGAAGATCTAGAGTCTCTTCCATGGAGCCTTTCTTTTGTAGTATGTTCAGGTAATTAGTTAGATTATGTTTTATATTTTGATATTACATCTAGGACAGTTGATTAGCATATGTACAAATATTTCAGAAGATCTAGAGTCTCTTCCATGGAGCCTTTCTTTTGTAGTATGTTCAGGTAATTAGTTAGATTATGTTTTATATTTTGATATTACATCTAGGACAGTTGATTAGCATATGTACAAATATTTCAGAAGATCTGGAGTCTCTTCCATGGAGCCTTTCTTTTGTAGTATGTTCAGGTAATTAGTTAGATTATGTTTTATATTTTGATATTACATCTAGGACAGTTGATTAGCATATGTACAAATATTTCAGAAGATCTAGAGTCTCTTCCATGGAGCCTTTCTTTTGTAGTATGTTCAGGTAATTAGTTAGATTATGTTTTATATTTTGATATTACATCTAGGACAGTTGATTAGCATATGTACAAATATTTCAGAAGATCTAGAGTCTCTTCCATGGAGCCTTTCTTTTGTAGTATGTTCAGGTAATTAGTTAGATTATGTTTTATATTTTGATATTACATCTAGGACAGTTGATTAGCATATGTACAAATATTTCAGAAGATCTAGAGTCTCTTCCATGGAGCCTTTCTTTTGTAGTATGTTCAGGTAATTAGTTAGATTATGTTTTATATTTTGATATTACATCTAGGACAGTTGATTAGCATATGTACAAATATTTCAGAAGATCTAGAGTCTCTTCCATGGAGCCTTTCTTTTGTAGTATGTTCAGGTAATTAGTTAGATTATGTTTTATATTTTGATATTACATCTAGGACAGTTGATTAGCATATGTACAAATATTTCAGAAGATCTAGAGTCTCTTCCATGGAGCCTTTCTTTCTTAGCATATGTACAAATCTTTCAGAAGATCTAGAGTCTCTTCCATGGAGCCTTTCTTTTGTAGTATGTTCAGGTAATTAGTTAGATGATGTTGTACATTTTGATATTACATCTAGGACAGTTGATTAACATATGTACAAATCTTTCAGAAGGTCTAGAGTCTCTTCCATGGAGCCTTTCTTTTGTAGTATGTTCAGGTAATTAGTTAGATGATATTGTATATTTTGATATTACATCTAGGACAGTTGATTAGCATATGTACAGTAGAGTTTCAGACACGAAATTAGCATATGTAAAATAGAGTTTCAGACGGAAATAATACTTTGTAAGAAGGAGGTAGTCTGTCTGTGAATAAGTTTGGACAAAGGACTCGCGTAGGAAACAGGATGTACATAGAACGAGGCAGAAAGCAATGGATACGCTGGATAAATTCTGGGAATTCTGCTGGCTCATTGAAGGAACATCGCGATCGAACCGTAAACCTAGTACGAAGTTGTGATTGAGACACTATGGACTTACGGAATCGTACTGCAACGGTAGAAGCAGTTGAACGCCAGCTAACGAGGACCAGAGGAACGCAAAGCGGTGGAATAAGAAAAAT